AAACTTGATATAAATGACAAGATGAATACAGTCACTCCAGTCCTAATGATCCCTGCATGATTGTACATACTGCCCAATAATCTCACAGTTTCTTCTATTTAACGATAATTATGAATTCCACATTTGCAAAAGATGTCTAAATCATGTTGAGAATTTAATTGACAACTAAGCCTGGCAGGGTCACAGTTCATTGCACCTATTTCACTCCAATTCATACAGCATTTTCTACCCAAAAACCATACAACACAAGTTGTACCTGCAAATATCCCCCTCATCTTCACATATACACCAATGCACATAAATACTTAGAAATGTGTACTATGCGGTAAGTATACGCAAATTATTCACAGCTTCTTTTTGTCAATGCTTCTTTCTGTCAAAGCTCAATAAAATATGCCAACAAAAAATATATAATAAAAATATTAAGCTTCATATATTTATGGATACCCTGAGCCCACATGACCTGATATATGGATTCACTGGTACAAGCATGCACATCGGCAGCTCAGAGAGGGAATTCTGTCCCTACTTGGGCCAGGGGGAAACATAGAAACATAGAAACAGAATGTGACGGCAGATAAGAACCATTCGGCCCATCTAGTCTGCCCAATTGATCATTGATCTCTGGGAGATCAATGTCTTCACCAGCCCAGCGCACACATTTGCAGGAGGGGACCACAGAGGATATGGTCTGCTTTTTTGATGGTTACAGAGCAGGTATAGTGCTCCTGCCGGCTTATCAGAGCATTATGAATGCCCCTATCCCCCAGAAACTCCAATCCTATTCCCCCATTAAACTATAGCCTTTATCTTCCTATGAAACTACAGCCACTATCCCCCCCAAAAAACACATTGATATCCCCCACCTGATTCAAGGTATTTGTCTACACAGGTGAAGATGCTTTTCGACACCCTTCAAAATGCATCTTCACAAGTGTAAGCTTGTGTGTCTCTTACACCCCATTTTGTACCCCCTTACCCATCATTTAGCCAATTTTGTGCCTATTTTCTCCCTTTTGTATATTGCTTTCAACTTTTGTCATTCTTATTCTTTTGTGGCCTCTTACCTATTCCCATTTGTTTCTTATCCCCTGTTATGTCTGGTTTTCTTTCTTTTGAATGTTAGTGTATTTTACCCCCTTTTTACCCATATTGTGTCCTTTTTTGTGTCACTTAACACCCCTTGTGTCTCTTCCTCCCCTCTGGTCTCTTACATCCCCCTTGTATCTTATACTACACCTTTTTTGCCTATTACCATCCTTTTGTCTCTTGCTCACTCCTCTTCTTTTGTGCCTGTTACCCACGCTGTAGTGGGCCTGACTGAAAGCTGCATACCCCCACAGTGTGCAGCTCTCTGACAGACCAGATAGAGGATAAAAAATAATAACCATTGGACGCAAGGGCATGCTACCTTGCCAGTGCACTTCCAGTGACGCATTATGAACGTGCCAGTCCTGTCACAGACAACTCCAACTCCCTAATAAACCTATCCTCTCTCACAAGCTGCATCACTTATCCCCCACAAACATACTACAGTTCTATTTCCCACATACACTACAACCTTATCACCCCTCACACTAAACCTGTTACCAACTCCTCTACACACTACAGCCCCATTCACACATGTGCACTACAACCACTATCCATGCACGCACTACAGTCCTCATTTAAACACAAACACACAACAGCCCTATTTACACACACCCACACACTACACTACAACCCATATCCGCACTTTCACACTGTGTAGTGGATGCAGTGTGTGTAGTGCAAGCATGTCAAACATGCATCCCGCGCAGGCCGTATCCGCTACTCCTTTTCTTATAATACCTCCTCCCCTCGTCCTGTCTCAGTTGGAGTCCCCCAAGGCTCTGTCATTGGTCCCCTTCTATTTTCTCTTTATACTGCCTCTCTTGGCAAACTTATTATCTCTTTTGGATTCCACTACCACCTGTACGCTGATGACACCCAGTTATGTATCTCCTCCACAGACCTTTTTCCTGCCGTCCTTCAACGTGTCACTGCTTGCCTTTCTTCCATCTCTGACTGGATGTCCTCCCGCTTTCTGAAACTCGATCTCTCTAAAACTGAGCTCCTTGTCTTTCCTCCTCCTAATACTGATCCTCCTCTTTCGCTCTCCCTTCAAATTAGTGGTATTCACATAAGTCCATCCTTGCAAGCGCGCTGTTTGGCCTCACCTTTGAGCCTCACATCCAGTATGTTGCCAAATCCTGTAGATTTCATCTTAAAAACATAGCCCGCATCCGCCACTTTCTTACACAAGATGCTACCAAGTAGCTTGTCCATGCTCTAGTAATTTCCCGTATGGATTATTGTAACCCTCTCCTGATGGTCTTCCCAAAAGCCATACTGCACTGTTACAGTCTGTAATGAATGCTGCCGCGAGACTGATTTTCCTCTCTAGTCGGTTCTCTCACACCTCACCCCTCTGTCAGTCCTTACATTGGCTTCCTGTATCCTTTAAGAGTCAATTCAAGGTACTAATATATATATATATACACACACACATACAATTTGTATTTGAATGTAAGCCTGTATTTGCATGGAGTATATGTGTGAGTGTTGGTGTTTGAATGCAGGTGTGCATTTGTATGTAATTAATGCAATTACACACACACTGATACACAGACACATACACTGACACACATGCAAATAAACAGACATATATACCTATAGAGACATACACACAGATACACAGACACTCAAACCTTAACACAGAATACACACACTGATACAAAAGGACACACATTACAGACACACAAAGATACACACATACAGACACACAGACATAGAAACATACAATGAGACGGCAGATAAGAACCATTTGGTCCATATGGTCTGCCCAATTTTCGAAATACTTTTAATTAGTCCTTGGCCTTATCTTAAGTCTAGGCTAGCCTTATGCCTATCCCAAGCATTCTTAAACTCCTTCACTGTGTTAACCTCTACCACTTCAGCTGGAAGGCTATTCCATGCGTCCACTACCCTCTCTGTTAAGTAATACTTCCTGAAATTATTTTACAACCTTTGCCCCTCTAATTTAAGACTATGTCCTCTTGTTGTGGTAGTTTTTCTTCTTTTAAATATAGTCTCCTCCTTTACTGTGTTGATTCCCTTTATGTATTTAAATGTTTCTATCATATCCCCCCTGTCTCGTCTTTGCTCCAAGCTAGACATGTTAAGATCCTTTAACCTTTTCTGGTAAGTTTTATCCTGCAATCCATGAACCAGTTTAGTAGCCCTTATCTGAACTCTTTTCAATGGATCAATATCCTTCTGAAGATATGGTCTCCAGTACTGCATACAATACTTCAAGTGAGGTCTCACCAGTGTTCTGTACAATGGCATGAGCACTTCTCTCTTTCAACTGCTCTGCCTCTCCCTATACAACCAAACATACTCACAAACACACATAAATACTAACAGAGACACATACTGAAACAGACATACACAAATATAGGCATACGTACTGACACACACAAACCAAAAACAGACATACACACAGACAGACACATACTGACATACATACAGACACACACACATGCATAAGGACATACAGACACACACACACAAACACACATACTGACACACATACAGACACATATACAAGCATACTGATAAAAGCTCTACGGAATTTGTTGACTCAATATAAATGATAATAAATAACATACATACATACATGCAGACATACACACACACACATATACATACATACTGACATACATACAGTCACTGACATACATACACACACATACATAGTGATTGTAACGGACCGTTTTGCACACAAGGGGTAAAAAACGTTTAGGCGATCGTCCCCCTTTCCAGAGATGCAGGCACAGCTATTGTAGAACACCAAACACACGAACCGCCAATAAGTGAATGCTCCAAACTCCCGAACGGCATCCAATATAGCACTCCAAACACACGAACAGGAACCATACGAATCGCTGCTAGCAGACGAATAGGAAAAGCATCCAAGCGGCTTACACTCCTAGCAATCAGTCTCTATCAGCATTCAGTAAATCCCCCCAAAGACGAGACAAGGCTCCGTGTTGAGGGTCAAGCAGTGGTCTGTTTAATGAGGGCTACCTGCCCAGTATTTATGCAGGTCTCCCACCTGGTGGACACTCCCCTAGGGGACCAAATGGGAGACTGTGACAAGGGACAGACAAGTTGACAAATAGGACACACAGTCACAATATATTCCCACAATGCATCCTGGCTTCCTCCCCTCTGCCTTTGAGATAATTGAGAAGTAATTCAATTATCTCCCAAGACAAAGGCAAATCGCGATTATGCACGTGGGGATACTAACACACGAATTACTACTAAAATGCACTATGTAAGACACATACCATTAAAAGCATACATTTAACCTATCCCCAAATAGCTCAGGTCTGAGCGCACATTATTAAGCGAATGGCGCTCAGACCACACGAATACAGTTTAATAGCCATGGAGCCAAAGTCTTTACAAAGATAGGGATTCCTATGTGGAGTATAACATATTCCAGTAAAACTACCGAACGCCGGACCGTTTGTGCACTTTCACCGACCAAGAAGGGAGGTCGGCGGCTTCAGCGGTGTTCGCGCAAAACTGTGTCCGATTTCAGTTCCATGAATTAAGCGTCAAACACCGCTGTGCATTTGCATGATTAAAATGGCCGCGACCTCGTGTTTGTGATACGAATGGCGGCCACCCAGCATTCGTCAATTAAGCTGCGGTTAACTGCAGCTTCAGGGAGGCTAATTGCCGGCACACTCCAGCTCCCAGGTGGTCCAGTCATTCGTGCGGTTGTTCGGGAGATTGAATCTACCGAACACCAGGCAGAAAAGCATGAATAAAGCTTTTCTGCAGGCGAAACAAAGTCTTTTAACATGGGGGCCATAGTCCAAAGGCAGCAGGCGAGCAACCAGGCTTCTCCAATGCAATGTGGCGAGATTGGTCTCGTCACAGTGATATATATAAAGGTGAAAACAGAAGAACTCACTTGGATTTTTCAAACGTGTATTTGGCAATCTTAACACAAATCTACATCTGATGTAGATTTGTGTTAAGATTGCCAAATACACGTTTGAAAAATCCAAGTGAGTGCTCCTGTTTTCACCTTTATATCTACTGGCCTGGAGGCACCCTGGTAACATTACTATTTTTTGCTCTTTTGAGGTTGAGTGCCAGAGTCTGGACTGCTATATATATACATACATACATACTGACATAAACACACATACATGCTGGCACACACATACACACAGACACACATACATACATACATACATACTGACAAAGACACACATACATAAATACACACAAACTGACACACACACATGCAGCTCATTTTTTAGCCACAGTGTATATATATATATATATATATATATATATTATTTATTTTTTTTTTCACTATCTGGTTACTGTTTCTGGAGTGCAGAATTTAATCTTTTGGTTTTTATATTTGGTTTATTTTTTGCTGCTGCGTTTCCAACTATTTTTTCGTATAGCGTAGCACCTTCGTTAGGTACAGATATATATCTCTGTATATTCAATGCATCAAACGTGCAAACAAGGCAAGCTCACCCACTGGACCAACAGTGATCTAAAATGTTTCCCCTCCCTTGCCAAGGTAACAAGAGTGAGTTGGAAATAAACTTTTTTGAAACTGTAAATGTTTTGGTTTTTTTAAATGTGGTTTGCTGCCCCCTTGCCCTCTTCATACACACACAGCATATCCCTTACCATAGTACAGCATTTTTATAGTCACTGATATGTTCTGGTGTTGGTGGAAGTCCATGGGGGGTGACCTAAACTGTTAGGCACATCCTTTTCATGTGTGGAAAACTCTTCTAGGAGGAGTTTAATACTATATGTAGTTGTCCAGCATTGGTCAGTATTGGCAATTATCCCCCTTCCCCCCCCACCCCCCTTTTCTTTTCTTTTTTTTTTTACATAGTCATATTTATTACCACACAAGATGAAACACTGAATCTCAAAGTTGTATCTATAACCTTCCTGACAAAACTCACATAAGAAATGTATTGCATTGAAGAAAACTGTAATACAAGTATTTGCTATTGGCCCTTAGTTACTCATTTTTCAGTTACTCTTTTAGTTTTTTTGTTATATAACAAAAATTCTGAAATAAACATTTTCAAAAAAGAGACTTGTGTCTTTCCATACAAGTTGTAACAAAGTTATTCATTATCTGTAATTTTGGGGGAATTTAAAGTAATTTAAAAACATTTAAGGTAAAATAGCCAAACATAGCTAATAGATAATTTTTTCCAGTTTTGCTTTACTGAATAATTATTTGTACACATGTCTCACATTCCTATATTCATTAGTGTATTAGTTTACTTCTTTAAATAACATGTTAATGTGATTTGTACTATTTTAATTAAGTCATAGAACAAATCTCCAAAATAAAAAATCTCTATTATTGCCCACTTCTGACTCTAAAACCCAGCAAAATAGAACTAAACATATAAAACTGAGACATTTTTATTGATGGTAAGTGGACAATCAATACAAAAAGAATCCTGTAAACAAGCAATGTGAAGTGTTTCCCTCTGATTGAAAGTAGCAGATCAAGGCCTCGGTTAAATATTGTTGGATACTTTTTTAAATTATTTAATATTATTGGAATTGTACGTATGAATGTATTACACTTGTAAAGTTATTTTATAAAAACTTTTTTAATTTTGTAGTATTTTGATATAGTTTATATAGAGATATATTATTTTATATGTGATATTTTTTGATATTTTGATATATTGTTTTATATCTATCTTTTTTGATATTTTGACATTTAAAAAAATAATAATTTAGTGTATCCAAATATAATAAAATATTACGAAGCAGGAATTATCATGCATATCATGGCAAGTCAGCTGAAACAAAATAAAGAAGAAGTATGGCTGAGAACGGAACTGGAAGCGAGCCAAGCAAAAGACCATTTAGAGTTAATTTGGAATATAAAAAAAACTTAATTTATCTAGATCATACATTCTTGGGCAGATCATTCCAATTTGGCAAAAAATTAAGAACAAAATTAAGATGGATAACAAAATATTTGACTTCCAAATTTTGAATTTACTAGAAATAACTATGGAGAATATATCTCCTTAAAATCGTGGAAAGAAAAACAGATTAAAACACTCAAGGACTTGGTTATAGATAATAAAATAAAATCTTTCAGAAACCTGGTAGAAGAGTTCCAAATCTCCTATACCTTCTCCTATATTAGGGTAAAACACTATTTAGAAAAGGTTATATCAGTCGCAGACGGTAATTTGTATGACATATTAAAAACAATTCTAGATCAGAGTAAAACAAAGCAGCTGTTCTCTAGATGTGTTAAAATGCTAGAGGGTGTTCATAACTCAGTAATCCCTACCACCATTAAAAAATGGAATATTGACTTAAAAAAAAAAATAGATCTAAAGGAATGGACATCCTCTTCCTGTAAAATCAATAAATATGTTCACTCGTTTGTATTATTAGAAACACATTTTAAGTTGGTAAATTTATGGTAAATGACCCCAGTTAAAATAACTAAATTTGCTATGGGCACGAATGCTCAATGTTGGAAATGCAGAGAAGAAAAAGGGAACTATCTGCATATGTGGTGGTCATGTAAAAAAGTGTTTGTGGTGTGGCAATGGGCCCAATATATCATACAAAATTTTTGCAATGTAAAAAAAAATGTTAAAACCCAAAGTAATGCACTGCACTGTAATTGGCCAAAACTAAAGAAAATAGACCAGTTTTTGACTATACACTGCCTAATGGCTTATAAGATTGTAATAGCAAGAAATTGGAAGGGGGACAATGCCTTTACCATTAAACAAATTACCTCACAACTGGCTTACCAAATCAAAATGGAGAAGGACTATAGCAAATGTTTGAATAAGAATTCTAGTATCTGGGTGAGTTACTACGGGATATGTAAAATCATACCCAAATAAATACGCAATAAGGGAATGGACAGTTTTTGAGAACTCTCGTAGGGTGATGGGTTTGTTACGGTTTTGTGATAATGACTGCTTTGTAATGTATGTTGTATGTAAAGTGTCAAATGTTAAAATTTAATTTAAAAAAAGAGAAGGGGAAGGGAAAAAAGGGGAAAAAAAAAGAAGAAAAAAAAACGTTATTCAAAAATAGTAAACCATGTGAAAAGCCTATCCAACAATATTAAATTAAGGCCTAAATGGTTTAAATATTTGTTACTTTTCTATAGTGGATCATTTTAGTATTTGTTCAGTAGATGGCACTGTGTGACAAGTACTATGTAATAGCTTTCCGAGGTCACTTGAGTGCAGTGTCACAGTTTAAGGTGAATTGTCAATGTAATTTCCCATTCTCACGAGTTGGTCTTTTTTAGTGACCCATTATAGCTGCACCATACAGGTAAATTATGAAAACAATGAACAGCATAAAAATATCCTCTGATTATTAGTAAAAAAGATTCTCTTACCCAGGGCTGGACTGGGAAAAAATGTGTCCCAAGCATTTAAAGGCAAATCAGTCCAATAAGAGGGAGTGGGGATATAGATGGGACAAACCCACTCAAAGTATAAATATGGTAGTCTGATGTCCCTCCAGGTAAAATGCCCTGTTTGTTTTATGCAGCATAGGCAAATATGCTAAAAATACAAACTTGCACTGCGTTTACTGGTCAATTGTCTCTGGAGTTCCCATAAGTGGGATATCGGAGGACAAAAGTGGGACAGGACTGGTAAAGATGTTAAGCATGTGTGGGGAGGCTGCCTGTTGTGTTGTATGCAATTGAGGATTGCACGTGTGTAGAAGCAGCTGTTAATGGTGTAGTATTATCATTATTGTAAACACATTCTGTGGCACTTTACAATTCTAGAAAGGGTATATTTAGAGGTGAAAAGACCCTGCTCTAATAACTTTACCATCTATCCCCATCTGTGAGGATCTGAGCTTTGCAAATATATCCTTAGGTGTCTTGCCCTGTGAGGTAGTCTGACCAGGATTTGAACCAGAGTTTTCTGATTCTAATGCAGTGACAGTACGAAGGCTTTGCGTGAAAGGGCTGGTTTGTGGTTTAATGTGTGGCTAGGGATTGTGGTGTTTATTATAATAATTATAATTAACAATATTATTATTACTATTGGTATTTATATAGCGCCAACTGATTCCGCAGTGCTTTACAATATTATTAAAGTAGGGACATTTAACAAAATATGAAACATTTATAAAATAAAACAGAAACAATAGGTAGATGAGAACCCTGTTCAAATTAGCTTACATTCTAGAGGAACTGGGGTGTAAAAACACAATAGGGCAGCAAGGGGGACAGCAACCAAACAAGGTGGGAAAGTGGCAGAAGTGGAGGTGAGAGTGGAGTGTGGATCTTTAGAAGAGAGCAAGAGACACATATGTGACATAAAAGTTACAATGGGAGGCCATTAGCATTTCTATACAGATAGGTTTTAAGGGAATTCTTAAATGATTGAAGAGTAGGGGAGAGTCTGATGGTGGTAGGCAGGCTGTTCCAAAGGAAAGGAGCCACCCGTGAAGAGGAGCCAAACATGAGTTAGCAGTAAGGGTGTGAGCAGCAGGCAGGAGAAGGTCACCGACAGAGCAGAGAGGCCGAGAAGGGGCATACCTACAAATCATTACGGAAATGTAACAGGGGCTACAGTTGTTTGGAGCTTTATAGGTAAGGAAGCCAGTGTAAGGATTGAAAGAGACGTGAGATATAGGAGGCACAACAGGTGAGAAAGATCAGCCTGATGGCAGCATTCATTACAAATTGTAGCAAGCAGTACGGCCAGGGGCGGGCTGCTGGGACAGGGGGAAGAGGGGCAATTGCCCCCCAAGCAGCCCTAAAACCAGGGCCGTCCGCATCCAGCAAAAAAGGAAAAATCTGAATTTCCTGCCTCTGGCTCAGGACTCAGATTTTTCAACTTACCTCTCTCCCTGCAGCCTGAAGCCAGTGGAGTCAGCTGGCCTCTCCTGATGATGTCAGGTGGAGGGGGCATGACTTTCACTGCTCTTCTCCCAGGACCGCTGGGGAGTCTGGGAGAAGAGCAGAGGAAGTCACGCTCCCTCCTCCTGACATCATCAGGA